CAGAAGCAGTTGGGCGTAGGTCAGAGGTGGGTTCCTACCAGTTCTCACCTATTTGGTAGAACCGGTTCATCAAATCTACCGAACCGATTAGAAGAGGTTCCATCAGTGAACCCGGAAAGCAGGCCACACCTACAGAAGAGGTTCCAAAAATTTTTGAAACCCACCACTGCTTTAAATCAAATTGTTTGATATTTGTCCATATAGTTGAGAATCAACATCAGAATGTTAAACATTGACTATCTTGGACAATAGTCTCTCTGCTTTTTTATTTCTTAGAAAGTTTGAAAGTATATTTACAAGTTCTTCTGCAAGATTGTGTGACTTAACCATATCATTGGTAGAACACATGAATAATCATGTAAGTTGTACAGGATACAATATAGGAATCTGATCAGATTTTCCTTTCATGAAGATTTCTAATTGAATTCATATGCTGGCACTAATGCTGAATTCAGCTTTTATTATCAATATAAACTTTGCTTCTTGCAATTATTAGATTCCACCATGATTTTTCATCCTTGCTGAAGGCCTTGGTGAAGAGTCAGATCTTCAAGACCCTTTCAAACACCACCAGAATGGCTACTATCAGGATCTGAGAGAACTTAATTCCGGAGGGCAGGTGCTAGTCCTTAAAAGGTGAACTGCCAGGGTCCTGATAGGTGGCATTGTTTAATCAAAGGAATCCAGAGCAAGCCAATCCTGCCTGATTAAATAGGCCCAATAGATGTTACGAGAGACAGGATATCCCTCAAATACTAGGCCCTATGCTTTATAGGGCTTTATAGGAATGACAGACACCTTGAATTGCAGCTGGAAGCAAGTGCAGTTCATGAAGCAGATATTACACAGGCATATTGAGACATGTCTATGACCAGCTGATATCTTCAAAAGCTGTAGAGCATGTTGCAGTAGTGAAGCCAAAACAGTAGTCAAGCAAACTATTTTTCTCTGACATTCTGCAAACCTTTAATAATGGGATATATATGTTGATATTTGAGAGAGGTAAATCCAGCCGTAATACTTAGCGTTGAATTTCTCATCCTATTAGAGTTCTTTTTTCTTCTAAAACCACGGAGTAATTTTGGGCCATTCACTGTCATTCAGTCCAACCTATCTCATACTGGTATCCTTATGGTTTTTATAAGAAAAATGGAAGGAGAAAATACTACATAAGCTATCTTGAGCTGAACAAAAGGTAGAATATACACAAACAAGCCTTCATACAGTGTTCTCTAAGCTTGGCCTATGATTCCCCACTCCACCCTGAAATATATAGTTGCGTGTCAGAATTAGGCTTTCTTTGTTATTTACTTTCAGTGAAAAGATCTTAGTTTAGAAAATAATAGGTTGTTATTGTATTATACTGTGTGTGCCTATGTGTGAATAATATATGTATCTGTCACATATACAAACTCATTTCTGGTTTGCCTTTCTAGATGCTCTTCATGCCTACTTTGGGATTTGTGGCCTGTCATTAATGGGTGAGTCTGGCATTCGGAAGGTTCATCCTGCCCTGAATGTAAGCACAANGTCTGTATCCCCCTTCCCTTGTTTGAGTTGTGAGCCGCCCTGAGTCCCCTTAGGGAAAAGGGCAGCATACAAATGAAATAAAACTCTAAACTCTAAACTCTTTACTGATCTATAGCCTAGTTAATGATGTACTGTAAATAAATCATGGCTTAGTGAAATTCGCTAAGTCCACTTTAAATGGTTGAGATTGTGAATATTTGCAGACCAATTTATTTTGCACAAGTTCTGAACTTTAAGACTCTTAAACTAAAATTGAAAAATCACAGCAATATCATCATAGTTTTGATCTAATCTGGCAAATTATAATTAGAACATGTCAATTTAACACACAATCATTTATAGTAGATACAGATTTGTTTGCTTTTTTTCAGTGTTGTGATTAATGTCCTACTTTTGTTAGGTTACATCTGTGTGAAAATGTACATATTACACACTACAGAAGGGAAAAGGAAAAGCCAGAGAGTGTTCTGTGGCAGTTGGACAACTGCTAATTCTGGCTCCTATTAGATGCTCCTCAATTATCAGAAATGTAATTTTTTCCAAGCATGAAGAAGAGAAAAAATGATTCTTTTTTGTTTTGTTATTAGGGCCGATAAATGGCATATTGGAGATTCTTGTGTCTTTAGCCATTTTCTTTTATCTGAAGTGTGCTTTCAACTTTATCGTAATTCACTGGTTTTTCAACAGAATTATATTTAATTAGATTAAATTAGTTAAGTCATTTTAAAATGAAGTTCCTGGTTTCCTTATTTTTTGCAGTTCACTGAGGACGGAATGGTTAGGAGGAGGCACGTCTTTTGACCCAGTCTTCTGTATATTTCCTGGCAAAATACATAGGAAAATACAATTCGGGAAAATTCCACTTAGGCTTATGTTTAGCTCTCCATGAATTCACAGCGAAAAACGGACATCGCCATTGGGTTCAGAGCCCGTTGTTGTGGTTAGGAGGGGGCATGAATTTTGAGCCAGATTTATTTCCTGAAAAAATAAATGGGAAAGTCCCATTCAGGAAAATTCCACTTGGGGTTAGGTTTAGCTCTCCATGAATTCATAGTAAAACTGGACATTGCTTTTCGATTCAGAGCCCATCAGTATGGCTAGGAAGGGGCAGACATTTTGAGCCGGGCTTCTGTACGTTTCCTTGTACATGGGAAAATCCCATTTGGGAAAATTCCACTTAGGCTTAAGGTCAGCTCTCCATGAATTCACAGCAGGAAAATGGACATCGCCATTGGATTCGGAGCCCGTCATTGTGGTTAGGAGGGTGCATGTCTTTTGAGCTGGACTTATGTACTTTTCCTGGCAAAATTCATGGGGGAAATCCTATTTAGGAAAATTCCACTTAGGTTAGGTTAGCTCTGCATGAATTGAAAGTGAAAAACGGACAACGCCACTAGATTTAGAGCCAATCAGTATGGTTAGGAGGGGGCGCACATTTTGAGCAGGACTAATGTACTTTTCCTGGCAAGATGCATGGGAAAATCCCCTTTGGGAGAATTCAATCTAGGGTTAGGGTTAGTTCTCCAAGAATTTGAAGAGAAAAACAGACATTACCATTGGATTTGGAGCCATTCTGTATGGTTGGGACGCGCACACCATTTGAGCCGGCCTTATGTATTTTTCCTGGCAAAATACATGGGAAAGTCCCATTCGGGAAAATTCAACTTAGAGTTAGAGTTAGCTCTCCATGAATTCATAGCGAAAAAAGGAGATCGCCACTGGATTCGGAGCCCATCATTATGGTTAGGAGGAGCACACATTTTGACCTGGACTTACGTACATTTCCTGCCAAAATACATGGGAAAATCCCCTTCGGGGAAATTCAACTTCAGGTAAGGGTAAGCTCTCCATGAATTATTAGCGAAAAACGGACATCGCCAGTGGATGCGGAGCCTGTCGGTATGGTTAGGAGGGGGTGCGCATTTTGAGCCGGACAAATGTACTTTTCCTGACAAAATACATGGGAAAGTCCCATTCGGGAAAATTCCACTTAGGGTTAGGGTTAACTCTCCTTGAATTCATAGCGAAAAACGGACATCACCACTGGATTCGGAGCCCATCATTATGGTTAGGAGGGGGTGCACATCTTGAGCCGAAGTTATGTATTTTTCCTGGCAAAATACATGGGAAAGTCCCATTCGGGAAAATTCCACTTAGGGTTAGGGTTAGCTCTCCTTGAATTCATAGCGAAAAATGGACATCGCCACTGGATCGGAGCCCATCCTTATGGTTAGGAGGGGGCACACATTTTGAGCCAGACTTATGTTCTTTTTCTGGCAAAATACATGGGAAAGTCCCATTTGGGAAAATTCCACTTAGGGTTAGCTCTCCATGAATTCATAGCGAAAAACGGNTCAGAAAAAGGTCTTCAAAGCGAGATGAGTTAATGAATTCTACTTTATTATTTTAAACAGTGCAATGGCAAACTATGATATAAAGGAACTTCAAAATGACCTTACATATTTTCATACTAAATATCTTGAAATTAGTGATACTTATGTAATAAGGACTTCATATGGTATCTTATAAATTAAATCTTAATTGCTAAAAGGTGTTCTTTAAGGTAGACAACAATTGTATAATCTTTGTAAAAAAATAAAATTATTTTATTCATCATGTACTGTATTTATTTGGGGCTCATCTTAATTTAGAATTATACAGTTTGAAGAGGTTATTTGGGACATCAATTCCAATCATCCATTAAGTACGGCAGCCTAAATTAAACTATCCAGGTATCCCCTCCTTAAGACGGTATTGATGTGTTTTATTTTTGTTTCCCAATGTATCTCTTGGTCTTTGTTGAATTACAGGTAGTCCTCAACTTGCAACAGTTCATTTAGTGACTTCAAAATTATAGCACCACTGAAATATGTGAATTATGACTGTTTTTCACAGTTACAATCACTGCAGCATCCCCATAATCCTGCGATCAAAATTCAGATGCTTCAGTGATTACCGTTTATGACCTGACAAGCAAAGGCAATGAGGAAATCAGATTCATTTAACAATTGTTTTACTAATATAACATTTGCAGTGATTTACTTAACAACTGTGGCAAAACAAGGGGGAAAAGCTCACTTAACATCTCACTTAACAACATAAATTTTTGGCTCTATTGTGATTGTAAATTGAAGGCTACCTGTACTTATTATTTTCATCCCAGCTCTAATCCTGTAATTCTCAAGGTGTTCAGTGCTAGTTTCTTCTATGAAGCTCTTGGTTTAATTTCAGCAGTTCAAAGTATACTATGAATTTTGTTTTTGCTTGTCACTCTTGTCTGCTGAGCTTGCTTCTTTGCTTGACTCTCTTCTTGTTGGAACAATGCTTCCTGTGGCAGCACCTTCTGCTGTTTCTTCGATTTCATAAACCATTATCTCTTATGAACTAGAATGAGCCTACTCACTACTCTTATCCTTTTTTTCTTCACGTTTTTGCTACAATTTTCTTGGCCAGTGAGCCGGAAGCGTGCACGTGTGCAAAAATGCATGCATACATGGCCACGCCCATATTATAATGCGTGCATGACCCCCCCTTGCCCTGCCTTCCTGCGTATGCATGCATGACCCTCCCATGACCCGTTTGGGGCCTAGTAGGCTTCCCTGAAGCCTCCTGGGACTAAAAATGGGGCCGGAGGGGGAGAATGCTGCATCTCTCGTGGCCCATTTTGGGCCTAGCAAGCTTCCCTTAAGCCTCCTGGGACCGCCCCCATGCATGCACATGCCTTCCCGGCACCTTCCCGCATCCATGCGCCTATCCTGCATGTGCATCAGAGACCCAAAAATCAGCTGGCCAGAGGGAGGCGCACACACATGCGAAGTGGAGCTGAACTGGGGTGACAGCTTGCGTGCCTGCAGAAAGGGCTCTTGTGGCACCCATGCCATAGGTTCACCATCATGGTTCTAGGCTATATTCAGGCAGGAAATCCCTTGATTTAAAAGGTAAGTTCATTAAAGATTCCCTTGTAGACTAAACTATCTCATTGAACATTGAGAGTTCATATTTCTCCTCTTTATAAATTTGCTTTTACAAGTTGAATTTTAAATGACAGGAGTTCTGCAGTCTTAATTGAGGTTTAATTGTTAAAGTATATTTTGCTAATCTGATAAAAAAAATTAAAATGGCATTATTCTCAGGATCTTTCTAATACACCAAATATTTTGACTTGTTACAGAAAGTTGCACAGATGGCCCAACCCATGTTACATTCAGCAGGTTCTCGCTTAGTGCATTCTACTTCCTCCTTTTGTAAACTTAACATAATTGTACAACAGTGAAGACATCAGGCCATATTATTTTTCTGTCTCTGAAGGAAAAGATCAGGTATATAAAATAGATGTCTTAACAACTAAAAGCAACTGGGTGAAAAGTCATTCTTTTTTACCTTTTGACCTTGATTAATATCTAAACAACATACAATTCACCATTTGCTTGGACTGCCTGGCAAGCCTTAAGTTTTTATTTATATTTTATAAATAACTCAAAGCAGCAAACACCTAATATTTTTTTCTTTTCATATTTTCTGTATAACAAAGCAGATGGTGGGTTAGTTAAGAGAGTGATTGACCCAAGATCACCCAGCCATTTTATGTGACTTAAGATGGGACTAGAATTCATAAGTCTCTTGGTTTCTATCCTGGCCCCTTAATTACTAGACCAAACTGATAAAACAGTGTACCCTACAGTCTCAAACTGACTGATACTATGTAGAAAGCCTGAATAGGGGGAATTCGGATTGTATTTCTCAAAATGCTGCTGCTAAGAAATCCCATTTTTACAGTGGTAACAAATGAAACTAAATTGGGTGATTGATAAATCATAGTATAAGGTTTACACAACAGTCACTCGCGCCCTTGTGACCTCNAAATTTTATATCTCCATTGGATCCGGAGCCCGTCGGTATGAGACTGGAGGCTAAAACATACAATGAACAGTTGCAGGAATTGGGTATGTCTAATTGAATGAAAAGAAGGGCGAGGCATGACATGATAATATTCCAATATCTAATGGGTTGCCGTATAGAATAGGGAATCAGCCTATTCTTCAAAGCACATAAGGCAGGATAAGAAGCACTTGATGGAAAGTAATGAAAATGGGAACCAACCAACCTAGACTTAAGGAGAAATTTCCTGATAGAACAATTAATCAGTGGAATAACTAGAGGTTTTTAAGAAGAGATGGAAAAAAATTGTCTGAATTGGCATAGAATTTCCTGCTTGAACATGGGTTTGGAGTAGAAGACCTCCAAGGTCCCAGCTCTGTTATTCTGTTTTGTGTTTCTTGAGTTGTAATGCAGCGATATGTTGAAAAATATATTATAGAACACATATTATGTATTTAGCAGAATATATAGGAAGATGAGCTTTAATTTTTATTTATTGGTGGGAAGCATTCTATGTTTTTTTAATGGTCTTTTTTTGAATTGATGCTTTACCAATCATATGTTCAGTTTTTCTTCTATGGATTTAACGTTTTCCATATCCACTTATGCTATATATGCATTGCTTTAGGAATAAATGTTGCAGTTGACTTTGGAGTTTTTTCAAGAACAAGGGATCTTTTCCTGCCCATCAGCCTGAAGGCATCTCAGCACCTGTGCAAACCTAAATTAAATCTCAAAAACCTATTTTGGCATCCCATTTTAAGATTTGCTAAATGCAGATTGTTAGCTCTGAATATTAATGTATCTCTCATCTTCTCTTACCCCCTTGCCTCGGCTTTTAATCCTTTCTAACTCAAAGTACTGTAGGAATAACCTTGTGTAAAGATCTTGGGACACTGTCTATCATCTGAAGAAGAGTGGAAGAGTACCAGATTTGCAGCCATGTGGAGGTTGAATTGAAAATGGACCACATCCGTCCAGAGAATAGAAAGAATAATGTTGCCCCTACAGGAGATTTCTAGTTTTCAGTAGTCCAGTATGTTGCTCATTCCTTCATGCTAAGCCCCCTTCCTTCTCCTGCCTGGTCATGTGTCCTGGAATGTCACTATCAGTCAGGTTTGAAAAGCTATACTATCTTGTTTCTTCTTTTCTTCCCATTTTGTTCTGATTATTGATTCTGAGACATCAAAAGTATCCACACTGTTTTGTGGCTTTTGGGTATTACTCTCATGTGACTACCAGAATGTGTCCTACCTTGCATATAAATATATAACGCAACCAGAATGTAATTCCTAACTTTGATATCCTTCTGTCTGAAAATTGAACCACAGTTTCAACTAGGAATCGACCTAGACCAAGCTAAATGTTTTAAAAAACTAGGGAAGTCTTGGAAGTTTGCCATTCAGACAAATCAGCTTTCAAGACACACAGAAATAAACCATATTTGCCTAAGCAAAGGCATTTTTCAAAGGCGCCTGGACTTTCTTGGAAAGTCCAATTGCCTTTTGAAAATACCTTTGGAACAACCTGAATGGTTGAGAATCTCCATAGACATATTTACACACCATTCAAAAGAGACAATTAAAAAGCTAAGGAGGGGAAAAAAGAGCAGATCTTCTCCAGCATTCAAGACCCAGATGAGCAGATTAACACTAGACAAACAATCAAGCAGAAAACAATGAGAAAAACATACCTCCATCAATGCTTTCAGGACAGTCTACTATATATGGGAGCAAACCACTTGCATTGATGTCACCTAATAAAGGGTCTGCAAGCAAACAAATTTTAAGCAGTAAGGACTCCTCAAATCAGAAAATTCTGGCAAAGCCAGTATGCATGATATATTTCTGTCCACTTTGCATCAACAATTGCCAATTGTGTCCTTATTTCTTTTCATAATTAAGTACTATTTACTGCCATTGAAAAGTTGGCCATCTCATCTGAGATGTGATCATGTGATCACAAATTCTTCAAATGACCACTATAAAATGAGATGTTTATAGTGATCATGCTATTTATAATGATTCCTTGTGGGTGCTGTTACTTTCAATAACCTTGCTGAAAATAAATACTCTTCATATCTTACAGGATGCAAGTGTCTAGAATTGTTCCTGTCCACTGCTTGCCGTAATGGGCTACAAAACATTCCCTGTACTAGCACTTCCAAAAGCCTAAAAATAGGCAGCTTTTACAGATGCATGCAAGTTTAGTTTGGTTCTGTGGACTTTGATATTTAATGGCACTGTGGAATCTGAATACATGTAACATGGGCCCCTTGTATGTTGATCTCAAAGGCACGTGCAGACTATGGAATGTGTTGGAGATCAAGAGTTCCCACGACTTCCCTTCCAAAAAAGGAAACAAAATTTTGTTGCAGCTGTTGATCCGATACCAAATCTGGTTTAGGTTCATTCTCTCATTCACTCCTTTGCCTTTCCTATTCCTCCTCTTTTAGCAGCTGCAACGGCTCCTTATAACCATTAATCAATGGAATATTTTTGTGGCTAAAAGCAAATGAAAATTCCCTTAGCTCCAACACACATTTCATATGTACAGAAAATATATTACAGTATGTGAACTGCATGCTGTGTGCAGTAACTTTCAGACAGCTACAAGTGCTTGCAAGGTAGACGGCTTTATACAGTATTCATAAACTTTCCACTCCCTCAATGCTCACCCAATAGGTTTTTCAGTCCCAGCACGTTTAAAATATTTAGACGTGAATGGGTTTAAACCTTTAAAACATTTATTACCATTGTAATGTGCACTCACAATTGTGTAAGCAATGCTTTGTTCACCTATTTAAAAACCAGCTGTACTTTAATTTTTCTTCAGACCATATAAGTCTTTTGACTTTTACTAGAGATTCCCTTAGAGAGGAACATTTCTAGTGAAACCTCCATCATTATCATTGCTTAGAAAGTTGGCTTAGATGCAGGAAACATTTGTTTAAATATGTAGTTGAGTAATTGCGAAACTCCAGAGGCAAATCATTCTTATTGCTGAGTTCTCAGAGGGAAAAAATGTATATAGGTCTCCTCAGATTTCCATTGCAACTTCTAGTTCAGGTGCCATTCAGATTATTCTCTCTACACTCCATCTTTTTTTGCTTTCTTAATGAATTTCTTTGCACACCAATATAATTACATTTTCTCATGATTCTCTTTCTTCAATGTTACAAGGTCAGGGACTCATATGAAGTAGAGAAAGAGTATGTTAATTAGAAATTGAAAATGAAAAGTAGAACTTGCAGCTTTGTCAGTTCATTCTTTGTTCTATAGAACTGTTTGGGGGAGAAAGAGATTATTTGCTGTCTGATATATTTATGTTAGAAGATCTTCTGAGATTTCCTGCCTTTACAATTAATTGGCCAACCACCCTTTTTCCTTTCATAAATCTTTAATATCTTGTTTATTACTTTGGCATAATTAGACTACTTACTTGACACTTCAAAGCCAATTACTATTTTAACCCTGAGTGTACTGGCTTCTTTGTTGGCTTAAAAAAAAATTCTTGCCCTATTGGTTAATTATGTCTGTCTTTTACACATGCTCCTGTGTTAAAAATGCCTTTCAACTCATCCAGAAGACTCTACTTATTGGGCATAAAATGATTAAACCAAGAAAAAGAAGGGTAAAATGTAGCAATTAATTTAAGGATCAAAGATTAATTCAAGGTTTCTGCACTAGATAGGTGGATATGTATTCCAAATGGTACATTTTTAAATATCAAGGCAATTGTTATATGATTTTCCATTGACTTGGGATTGTTGCTTATAAATACATAATGGCAAATAGAACATTATACATGAAATATTTATAGGGGTCTACACAACCCATATTTCAGAGTTGAACACTCTAATGTTAAAGTCTTGCGCTAAGTGAGCAAGGCTTTTCCATGGAGTTCAGGAAACAAACTTCATGAGAAATATGTCAGAAACATCAAAGCCTTGTATTATTTATAGAACTTCAGTTGCATGCACTGACATGGTCCTAGACAAAATCCACTTTCAAACATTCCAGTATCTATATTCTTTATTTCAAATGTTTATAAAATTTTATAATTTGAATTTTAATAACCTGATATAAATGCCTGTTTATAGGAGCTGCATTGGGATAATAGAGTTGGAAGGGACCTTAAAGGTCTTTTAGTCCAATCCCATGCTCAAGCAGATACCCTATACCAATGATGGCAAACCTTTTTGGCACCAAGTGCGTGTGCTCGTTTGGGCTGCAACCCGGAAGAGGAGCTGCCCATGGGGCATGCACATGCTGGGAAATGAATTTTTGGCTTCGTGTGTGTGCATGCGCGCCAGCCAGCAAGTCTTCTGGTCACTGGCACGCATGCACATGTGCCGATCGGCTGGCCAGCATGTATGCTCATGCCGGAAAACAGAAGACCAGATTTTCCAGTTTCTAGCACTGCCTCATGCACAAAGGCCAGCTGAGTGTCATGTGCGCATGAGCACCAGAAATCTGGAAGAGGAACGGGTGACACCACGGGTGCCAGGCAACATGGCTCCATGTGCCACTTCAGACATGCATGCCATAGGTTCGCCATCATGGCCCTATACCATTTCAGACAAATGGTTGTCCAATCTTTTCTTAAAAACCTCCAGTGTTGGAGCACCTACAACTTCCAGAGGCAAGTCAGTCCACTGATTAATTGTTCTACCAGGAAAGTTCTCCTTAGTTCCAGGTTGGTTCTCTCCTTGATTAGTTTCCATCCATTGCTTCCTGTCCTTGCCTTCAGGTGCTTTAGAGCAGTGGTCTCCAACCTTGGCAACTTTAAGACTTGTGGACTTCAACTCCCAGAGTTCCTCAGCCAGCAAAGCTGAAGTTGAGTTGGGAGTTGAAGTCCACAGGTCTTACAGTTGCCAAGGTTGGAGACCATTGCTTTAGAGAATAGGTTGAGCCTCTGTTCTTTGCAGCCCCTTAGATAATGGAACCCTGCTATCATCACCCCAGTCCTTCTTTTCATTAAACTAGACATACCCAATTCCTGCAACCGTTCTTTATATATTTTACTAGTCAGTCCCCTAATCATTTTTGTTGGTCTTCTTTGCGCTCTAATGTCTTTTTTATATTGTAGCCACCAAAACTGGAGGCAATATTGCAAGTGTGGTCTTACCAAGGCATCATAAAGTGGCATTAACACTTCACATGGTCTTTATTCTATCCCTCTATTAATGCACCCTAGGATTGTGATGGCTTTCTTGGCAGCTGCAACACACTGCTGGCTCATATTTAAATGGTTGTCCACTAGAACTGCAAGATCCCTCTCACAGTTACTACTATTGAGCCAAGTACCACCTATCCGATAAGTGTGGATTTGGTTTTTCTTGCCTGTAGTAAAGCATGAATAATGTTGTCTAGCAGAGAGCAGTGTCTGTAGGGAAGAATTGGAAAATTCAAGATGGCAATCAAAACCATGCAGTTGAAACTTATTTTTAATGTCACAACCTAGATAAAAAGGGTCATGGATTCAATTCCATGGTTGTGGCTGTTATCTCTTTGGACCCTTCCACTTGTGGACACACCTGCTAATACAGGAATTGTGAACTGTTAAACGGTAACTGTTCACATTTTCAACGTTTCTTTAATAAGCACTTTTTAAGTAAATCATAGCTTAATATGAGGAGCAAACTCAAGTGTGATGCATAACTGGAGGACAAATAATGGCTGAAAGACACTTCACACTGTCACTTTGAGGTAAAAATATCACACAACATACCAAACCAGAAGCATGGTATGTTTATAAATTGCAGTGACTGAGTTCATAGAGGAGGATCTCAATCAAGAACAAATCATAATACGGCTGAGCATCTTGTGGAAACCAGAGCAGACTCAAGAGCTCAAAGTGCTGAAATTCCATCCAGCTTCTCTTTGATAACTTTAGCAAGCAATTCAAAACTGTATTTATCCCAGCAGGTGTTTGGTAGCTTAACCAAACACAAAGGACAGCTTCAGAAAGCAGGACCACTTCATTGTACAAGGATTTGACTATGCAACCTTGATGTTATATGCAGTAGCTTTTTCTGTGAAGAAATTCTGTTTATGATTAAAACAATACAGTAACCTCAGCTATGTAACAAAACATGGATGTCATGTTGTGCATTATTTAGATGCAGCATAAAATATTCCTAATACGGAAGTCATGGAAAAAAGCAGGCCTGATTTCTGTTTCAGAATAAAAAATAAATACAAGTTTGAAATGGTTCTCACTGTTACGTAATGATTTTAACAAGCATTAGACATAAGAAAATGTAGTTGCTTGTAATTCTGCTTTGTTTATTCTTAAAACTTTATTCAGTGAGAGGTAAGTCAAGAAAGTAGATGTAATTGTGTAATTGAAATCCCATTTTTTAAAATAATGCATTGATTTCACATACATGTAGAAAGGGATGGAGCTTTAATCACACAATTACAGCCACTCAGGCTTTTTTTAACCCCTCTTCACTCCCCATCTCCTGCCAGACATCCCAGGCCTTATTCAATCTAGCAATACCTTATTGCTGGGTTAAAATACTCTATACTTTAGGAACCTTCAAGCAATGC